TGGGTATTTAGCCTGGGAGATGCTGGAGCATATGATGTTATGAATAACAGGGGAAAGTTCTTCATTGTAACGTTTCAGTAACCATGAAGGGATCTCATCTGAGCCAGTGGCCTTCCTGGGATTTAGATGTTTAAGGGTAGCCTTAATTTGTCCGATGGAAGGCAACGGGGGACTGGTATCATTCTTAAGTAGGTGTCCAATTTCCCCAACGTCCGGAATTTCAGTGGGGTTGGCATTCGGCCAAGGTTTGGTGAAGCTTTGTTGCAGGCGTTCCGCTAAGTCTGCTGCATCATCAGCTGGTGGTTGAGAGTTACAGTCATTAGCGGCAGCAAGTTCAAATATGGTTTTGTACCACTTTGCCGGATTCGTTTCGCGTGTACCCTCTGCTTTTATTTGATAGTAATTCTTTTTCGCATTTGATACAAGTGAGGTAACTTTGTCACATAATAGTTTGTACCTTGGTATATCCCCAGATGTAAACGCCTTTTGCCTAGCTTTTATTTCATGCTTTATACGCGGTGTCATCCACGGCTTGTCGGAGGGGTGGGCACGTACAGTGCGTTTAGGCAGCGATTTATCAAGCATGCGCACGATAGTACAAGTGAACGCACTTACTTTGTCGTCAACCTCTCTGGCATCGTAGACTGTTTCCCAGTTCTCTCTATTCATATGTATGCCCAGTTCGATTAGGTTACTACATTTCGTCAGGCGCACTTTTCGGGAGACCTGTTTAACCTTTGTTTCAACTTTGGGTTGAGCAGTAAGCAAAGGTGGTCGGAACGGCCGATCGGTGGCAGATGTTGAACATCATTGTATAGCTCTGGCATATTGGTAAGGATTTGGTCTAGAATATTTGTACCTCTTGTAGGAGTCCGTACGGCTTTTGTAAGGTTGAAACGTCTACATAATGGGTTCAGTCTCATTTTGTTGAAATCTCCAGCGATAATTACGCCAGCTGAAGGGTGGTCCTGCAAAATGTTGTCAAGTCCGTTAGTAACATACTCGTACATTACTCTTTCATCTTCAGTTGTCTGTCCAGGTGGGTAGTACACACCAATAACTATTATCGCACTATAGGGCCTGGGGATTCTGGGCGGTTTAAGTAAGAGCCATAGGACTTCTTTCCCATCCTATTCAAGATTTCTTAGGCGGGTAGTTGGTATTTTGTTATTCACGTAGGCTAAGACACCACCACCAGGCGTGGGAGGTGGGGTTATCGTGGATGTGGGGGTGTGGGGTTATCGTTGAGTTGCAATTGCTGCTACTAAGTATCACGCTTACTGTCACGATCAGATTCCACCTTCATGGAGAATCGATACTATTAACAGTTTGACTAACATCAATTTGGAATCAATTAATATCAAGTCTGACACTCCCCTTCTCGCGGACATCACTAATGCGAACCTAGAACTGGTTCTACGTGTGTCAATCTATGTGAAGCAGTCCAACGGTAAATTCACACAGCAGAAACTATCGATTTGACTAGGCTTCAGAATTGTTACTTCCTCGGCACATATCAGAGTGACGGTGCAAGTGGAGCTTGCTGGGTATTCAAAGGGAACAGTGAATATTACATTGGTGGGCACGCTGAGTTGGTTGATAATACGATGGCATCGTGTGTGATAGTCAAGCCTGAACAATCAATACCCACCGGAAAGAGCATGGATATGTCCTTCTGTTGGTCTCTGTTATACTCAGGATCAAACGGTGGATAATATGTGTTGTATCATAAGGTAGAAAGTCGAGCTTGAATGGTGAAAAGTGGCGGTCATGTTTTTCTTGCATTGGTAAAATATGTGGCTGTCGCAAGGGGTCTAAAAAAAACAGGAAGTGCGAAGCGATAAACTTCTCGGTATCCAATGAAATTAAGGTTGAGGTGACTACACAAGGTAAAGATCACGATGTCAACAGTACATCTGAACAGTAGAGGCATACCCCTTATGTACCCACAGTGGTAAGTTGAAAGTTGGCGAAGAGGCTGTGGAATAGGGAAATTGGACGATATTGGAGAAGTGTAGGATCACACGTACAATGATCGTCTTGAGGCTTGAGTTGGAGCTACGTGACCGCTAAAGAGAGGGTTTTGGCGTCTTAAAAGAGAGTTTTGCCATCCGAAAACACAGCTTTGCCATGCCAAAAGATAGATCTCCGTTTGAAAAGGGAGTTCGGCTATTTGAAAAGACAGTTTTACCATCTCAAAGAGAGTTCAGCAATTTGAAAAGGGAGATTTGC